ACATTCGTCTGGAGCAGCTAAAGGCAAAGGCCGCCGAGGAGCGGACCACCATGCTGGAGGCGATCGTCACGGCGGGCAACGTCTTTGGCACCGGCTTTCGCGCCTTCATCTCCGACTGGGAGAAGGTGAGCGCCACGGCGGTGGGCATCTCGCTGGCGGCCGCTGGAATTTACGGCGCCAAGCACGGCATTGGCATCGCCGGGCGCCTGATTGAGTCCCGCATTGGAAAGCCCTCTCTAGTAAGAGATACTAGTCGTCTGAACCTAGCCGACGGTTTTCGTCACCCGGTGCGCACCGCCGGTCGCCTGCTGGCTTCTCGCAAGCCCGCCGACGCGCTGAAGGGCGTCGTGCTGGAGCCCTCGCTGGAGGAGCGTCTGCGCGACATTGCCATCGCCACGAAGAACACCCGCAAAAACGGCGGCCTCTACCGAAACGTCCTCTTCTACGGCCCACCAGGTACGGGCAAGACGCTCTTCGCGAAGAAGCTCGCCGAGCACTCGGGCATGGACTACGCGCTGATGTCGGGTGGCGACGTGGCGCCGATGGGCCGCGACGGCGTCACCGCCATCCACAAGCTCTTCAACTGGGCGGGCACCAGCCGCCGCGGCCTGCTGCTCTTTGTCGACGAGGCGGACGCCTTTCTGCGGAAGCGAGCCTCAGAGACGCTCAGTGAGGAGCTGCGCTCGACGCTGAACGCCTTTCTCTATCGAACCGGCGAGCAGTCAGGTCGCTTCATGTTGGTGCTCGCCTCAAACACTCCGGAGCAGTTTGACTGGGCCATCAACGACCGCCTCGACGAGCTGATCGCCTTTGAGCTGCCTAGTGAGGGGGAGCGGGAACGACTGGTTCGCCTCTATTTTGACCGCTTCATTTTGGAGCCGTCTGAGGGTAGGCGTAGGTAAGTGTGATTTTATTTTGTTTACTTTGTAATCTTTAACTTTTTTTCTCTTCTACTCAGTCGCCTCAAGTTGGACGTTTTCGACTACGGCGCCACCTGCTCGCTGATTGCCAGTCAGCTGGAAGGATTCTCTGGGCGGGAGATTGCCAAGCTGGCCGTTGCCTGGCAGGCAGCCGGCTACGCCAGCGAGGACGGGCTGATCACCCGACAGATGATGCTCGCCAAGGTGGAAGAGGCCAGGGAGCAGCACGCCCGGAAGATGCAGTGGCAGGCGGACGAGGAGCGGCTGAAGCGCGTCAAGGCACAGGGCAAGAGTGCCAGTAACGCCAGTGCTGCTGAAGTGGCCAAAAGTGAGATTGGCTCTGAGCCTACCCAAACGAACCTGCTCAAAACGGACACTCCTCTGCCCTCGCCTTATTAGCTTTTTTGGAAAAATGAGATCTGAACTTGATGTCTCTTTCTCTCTCCCTCTCACCCTCAAGGTATGTGAGATTTTGTATTATTTTTGTTTCAGTTTGTTTAGTAGTAATTTCTTTAAAAACATACATACAGTAGGAAAATAGTAAAATGCGCCNGGAAAAATGAGATCTGAACTTGATGTCTCTTTCTCTCTCCCTCTCACCCTCAAGGTATGTGAGATTTTGTATTATTTTTGTTTCAGTTTGTTTAGTAGTAATTTCTTTAAAAACATACATACAGTAGGAAAATAGTAAAATGCGCCTGTACAGTAGC